AGAAGAGATCTGCTGCCCAGGCGGGTCTCGAACCCGCGGGCTCAGGCAATCCACTCACCTCAGCCTCCCGGCCCAGCTAGAAAACTCCTTTTTAAAAAGTAAAAGACCAGGTGCAGTGGCTCACACCTATAATCCCAGCACTTTGGGAGGCTGAGGTGAGAGGATTGCCTGAGACCACAGGTTTGAGACCAGCCCAGGCAACTTGGCAACTTTATCATCCTACAATAAATCACAGTATTAACTGGGCGTGGTTGCGTGTGCCTGTAGTTCCGACTACTTGGAAGGCTGAGGTAGAAGGATTGCCTGAGGTGAGGCTGTGGTGGCCAGGAGCGTACCACTGCACTCCAGTCTGGGTGACAGAGTAAGACTCCAACTCAAAAAAAAAAAAAGGAAAAGCCATTCTTAGCCTCCAAGCAATATACGCTGGCTATGGCTACATGTCTGCTGACCCAGAATCTAGAACATCTCAGGGTCGCCCTCAGCTGCCTTCACACTCTAGGCAGGGCTCTCAGGCCTGTGGCTCTCCACAGCCTCGGTGTGCACAGAGCCTCAACAGAAAAGCTGCTCTGTAGTTCCTGAAATTGTCCATACACTGATATTTTATGGTTAAAAAGACACAAATGAGCCGGGCTCGGTGGCTCAGCCTGTAATCCTGCGCTTTGGGAGGCTGAGGTGAGTGGATTGCCTGAGTCCACGGGTTCGAGACCCACCTGGGCAACTTGGCGAGACCTCATCTCTACAATAAATTTTTAAAAAATTAGCCAGGCATGGTAGCATTCGCCTGTAGTTTCAGCGACTTGGAGGGCTGAGGCGGAAGGATTGCCGGAGCCCAGCAGGTCGAGGCTGCGGTGGCCGGGAGCGGCCACTACATTCCAGTCTGGGTGACAGAGTGTGACTTCAACTCAAAAAAAAAAAAGACACAAATGCATGACTTCTCCCTGAAGTAGATGTATAAACTGGGCCCGACAGTGGCCTCGATTCCCTAGAGGTGTAACAGAGTTTGACTTATGCCTGTAATGCTGGCCATATTCTTGTGCATAGCAAGAGCTGTGGGCGTCTGTGTCTTCCCAAGCAAGCTCGTCAATGTTTGTATAGGAGGGGCTTGGGCACAGAAGCCCAGCTAGAAGGGGACTTGTGCAGATGCAGTCACTCCTTGGTGCCAATGCTGGTTTTGGGGAAGAGTCCACAACCTTGGAACATTATTAAAATAAGTTATTTGAGAGGCAAAGTGACCCATTCAGGCTCCAGGGTCAACTCTTTTCCAAACGGGGAAGAGGGAGATGAAATGAACAATCAAATCTATTCAGTTCAGAGAGTTGACCAGAAGCTTCCCATCAGGCAAGCTACCGAGCTTCCTGGGTGGACGGAGGAAAACCACTCCTTCTGGGTGATGGATCTCTGCTCTGCGTTTTTTCTTTGGGTTGCTGATGTTCTGTTTGTAAATGTAGCTGCTGATAATGTGCAAACATTAAACTTGAAACAGAATGCTAGGAAAGCATTCTGAACTGAACAGAGGCAAAGCACCCTACACCCTAATTTGGCAGAATAGATAACAGACAACATAAAGGACACAGAATTTGATATTTTCCAAGTTACAAATAAAATCATCGTTCTGGGTAAGAGATCTGGACACTTACCTTCAGGAGGCTCAGACATGGATGGGGTGAGACAGTACATGTGATAGCCACGATCGCAGTCATCACAGAAGAGCAGCTGGTCCTGGAGCAGGCAAGAGGGAAGAGGGTGGGGGGGGTGAATAGCTGATGTGCCTCCGTTAGGCCACCGTGTGGAAGGGGGAGCTTCTGTGATACTGCTGCCACTCCTGACAGGGTAGGTGGTAGGTAGGAACAGATGTGGAACTCTTAAGCAGGAAACCACTGCTGCTCATCTCCACTCCAGATCTGGTCACTGTCATCCCTCACCTGGATCCTTCCAGAGCTCCTAATTGACCACACGGCCTCCATGCTTATCCCCTAGAGTCTACTCTCCATAGGGCAGCCAAAGTTGTCAATTGTACTTAAGAATGGAGCCCAGGGCTGGGTGCAGTGGCTCACGCCGATAATCCCAGCACTTTGGGAAGCTGAGGTGAGAGGACTGCCTGAGTTCATGGGTTCAAGACCAGCCTGGGCAACTTGGTGAAACCTCATCTCTATAATAAATAAATTTTAAAAAAATTAGCTGGGCATGGTGGCACATGCCTGTAGTTCTGGCTACTTGGAAGGCTGAGGCAGAAGGATCACCTGAGCCCAGCAGGTCGAGTCTGCAGTGGCCATGAGTGTGCCACTGCACTCTAGCCTGGGTGAAAGAGTGAGACTTCAACTAAAAAAAAAGAAAAGATGGAACTCAAGGCCTCACAGATCTGGCAGTGCCTGTCTCTCCTGTTTCATCGAACCCTGCCACTCTTTCCACATGCAGGAAAGGCTCCAGCCGCCACGCCAGCATCCTCAACACACCCAGCTTGCCTACCTTAAGGCCTCTGCACTGGTTGCTCCTTTCTTGGGAAAGTTCCACCTCCAAACCTTCTTGGACTGGCTCCTAGGTTTTCTCCAAATTTCAACACCTAACATCTCCTCCCCCCGCCCTGGAAGAGTCACCTCTGACTATTAGACCTAAATCAGTTCTCCAAGTGCTCTCTGCCACATACCGGTTTCCTTTTCTTCGTGGCACATCATACAAATCTCACTTACACCCTCGCTTATTGCTGCCACCACCCGTGAATGCAGAGACCTTGCCTGTCTTACTTAGTATCCTTAGTGCCTAGAACAATGCCTGACAAAAAGCTGGTCCTTGATAAACACCTGCCAATGAATCAAGGTTCCAACCGAGATGCTGGGAGGGGGAGTGTGGGAGGGACCCTGCTGCCTTTTGAAAGACCGTTCCAGCTGGGCTCGGTGGCTCAGCCTGTAATACCGCGCCTTTGGGAGGCTGAGGTGAGTGGATTGCCTGAGCCCGTGGGTTCGAGACCCGCCTGGGCAGCGAGACCTCATCTCTACAATAAATCAAAAAAAAAAAAAAAAAAAAATCAGCCGGGCGTGGTAGCGCATGCCTGTAATTCCAGCTACTTGGAAGGCTGAGGCGGAAGGATCACCGGAGCCCAGCAGGTCGAGGCTGCGGTGGCTGGAAGCGGCCACTGCACTCCAGTCTGGGTGACAGAGTGAGACTACAACTCAAAAAAAAAAAGAAAAGAAAGACCGCTCCTTTTTTTGGAGGGAACTGTAGGAAGAACAGTAAGGCCCAGAAGGAGGCACGCGGAGGAGGGGGCAGGGTGGGGTACACACGTCGTTCTCGGAGGTGCCACAGATGTTGCAGCACTTGCACTCGATGCACTGCCAGCGGTACGTCTTTACGGCTGCCATCATCACAGGCGTGAACTGGAGGCAAGACGGGTGCCCTGGGGGAAAGAAGCCAGTAAAACAGGCAGCCACCAATGGGGGGAGAAGAGGAGCCCCCGCCTACCACTACGTCTCTGGGCCAGGAGAAGTGAGGGGAGCTGGGCAACTGTATCAGCACCAGGAGCCAGAGAGCGGAGAGCCTCCCCGGGAACAGGCACAGCAGCGGCCTTCTCTTCTGGGGAGGAGGTACCTGAGCGGCCACAGTCAGAACAGGACACCAGCTCCTCAGGCTGTCCTGTCTTCTTGTTGATCTTTGAGTCCCCCAGGCAGAAGTCACAGTAGTTGTTGGGCAAGGCCAATCCATCGGGGCCCTTCTTAGCTACAGGGAGAAAGACAAGAGCTCGGAGATGCCACGAGGGTCCCTGGAACACTCAGCATCCCTGCCAGGTGGGGATTCATGATCAGGCCGACCCCAGTCCCGCCGTCTCGGACACCACCTCAGCTTACATTTCTGTTCCTCGGACCTCTGGGAAACAGGGGTGGGCGGCTGGGAGTCTTCCTTGTCCTCCCCCTCCTCCTCAGCCAAGTGGGAGTGGGCATAGTGGTAACTGAGGCCAGGCCGATTCTTGTAACGTTTTCCACAGACTGAGTGGGAGAAGATGGCAGAGACAGGCGTGAAGACACAAGAGCGCGGCAACCCCGCCCCTGCAAGGTGCAGGCTCCACCGAAGGCTGAGGGCAGCCACCCTGGCCCCCACCGTTCAGCCCTGGGACAGGCCTTCAGCCATCCCTCCCTTCGCCCCCTGCCAGGAGCACCAAGGCCGGGGCTCTCCAGCTTCCCGGGCTCTTCTTCCTCCCCAACGCCAACCGCATGGCCACTGTGCTTGCATGCTGGCTTTGGGGGGCTCAGCCCTTGCCCCAGCGCCACTTGCCCAGGGGCAGGAACAGCCCGGGGAGCTCCAGGTCGGGAAAGGGAAGGGGATTTCTGCAAGTCTTCAGCATGGCAGGAAGGGGGAAAAGCAAGGGAAAAACTTCAAACAAACGTTTTTACCCCTCAGCAACGCGAGAGGCTCCCGATACCCTAGAGACCATGTGCCCATCTCTGCTGAACATGGATCAATACATGTGGGTGGGTCTCTTGGGGACAGCTTCTTGGCTGAGCTGGCTAGGCAGTGGCCCCCAAAGAAATTCAGGCATGTTCCCACATCAGTGCCTGTCCAGGCCCGCCCACCAGCAAGGAAAGCAGATCCCCACGAGGCATACTGTCATTTTGAACAGTGGTACCGAGAAGGGCAAGGGGACTAGCAGGAAAGGAATGGGGCGAGAGGATGGGAGGAGGGAGAGGGACGATGAGACACATTAGCTGACCACCAAGCGCCTGCTTAGGGGAGGGGAAGCAGTCGGATCTGCCTATGATGGCTTCTCGTAATGACTCTGAAGCCACCCATGCACCAGGCCAAGGGGTTCTAGGAGCAGTTTTATGGGCAACGAGCAGTGGCAAAGGCAGCTTCCAGGACCCCGAGGAGTGGAGCACAGTACAAGCTCCACTGCCGCTACCCCCATACCCCTGGAGGTTTTCAAAGCTATCAACATAGGAGACGAGAAAAGGCAGGAGGAACCAGGGAGGAGGGAAAAAGGGACAGGAAAACCAAAAGTCGGAAAAGTTGAGAGAGCTACCTCTCTGGGGCGCTTTCGAGGTATGCTTTTGTTTGAAACTATCTGAAAGACAGAAAGAAAAGTCATGAGAAGAAGGCCTTGATACACTTGAGACAGGAGCGGCAGCAGCAGGAAAGCGGAGCGAACGAGAGAGAAACCCCAGCGGCGATGGTGCTCCCAGGGTGGAGGGACAGAAGTGGGGCAAGCCAGACAGAAAGAAAAAGAGAACAGACGTTGAAAAACTCAGTGTGAGACCCCTAGGGCCCTGGCCTGACTGGGGCCAGCAGACCTGCCAGTGCATCGTCTGTCGAGAGGCCACCTCTGCCAGCTGTGGCCCCCATAAGTACCCACCCCCCCGAAAGCGGAAATCTCTCCCAGAGCATGCAGGTCCCACCCATCATGTAGCAGAGCCCAGGCCTCCCAGGGGTCTCAGAGGGAAGCACTTAGCAGGCAGGGTAAGAGCCCAGGCTTGTTTTATCACTCTGGGCAAAAACACAACCCCCGCCCTCCTGAGCAGTCCAAGGCAAGGACTACCCACCCACTTGTGAGGCACTCACTGTCACAGGCATAGGGCTTGTCCCGATCCTCCAGGATGGATGCGTCCAGCTTCTTGCGGGCACTGCCCACACCCTTACCCTGCCAAAAAGAGCAAATGGATGCTCGTACAGAGGAATCTTGGCCTTAGGAATTAAACTTTCCAGGAAGTGGCCACTAATCTTACTTGAAATAAAGAAATGGAACTCCTCATGCCACCCTATCCAAGATGCAGGCAGCATGCTGGCCCCTCACCTTGGATTTCCCCTTGCCGCGACGCTTGGGAGTATCTTCTTCATAGTCCTCATCGTCGAGGTCATCCAGGAAGTCATCTGGTTCTAAGATCCGCTGAGTGTACAGGAGGATTAGGACGGGCAGAAAAAACGCACAACCAACAGTTCCCCACGATGGAATTGGTCAAGGCCACCCACAACTTCTTCTGCAACCTGGCCCCACCATGCCAGCCTCATTTCTTACCACTGCCACTCAAGCACCCTACAGTCCTGTTCCTGTCCCCTTCAATGTTATGGACTTCCCGTTCTCTGTGTTTCTCCACACATTGTTTCCTTAGCCCCGAAAGCCTTCTCCCCCATGCCAAGCGGCCCGATCAAACACCTCAAGGAGCCATGTCCCCTCTGTCGCTGATCGGTCAATCTGGGAGCACTTTACTGGTGGTTCCTTTCCAATATTCACTGCTTAGTTTAAATGAGAGCTTTATGGATTACTTGTGTGACCTTGTGGGAAGTTTTTACACTGTTCTGTTTCAGCTTCTCTGTCTGTGAAATGGGACCACAGGATCCCCCTAAGGTTATATACACTAAAGGAGAAAGTGCATGAAAAAGCATGTAGCACGGTGCCGGCAAATTTTTAGCTCTTTTTTTTTTTTTTTGAGTTGGAGTCTCACTCTGTCGCTCAGACTGGAGTGCAGTG